CAAAACATCTTCCTCCTCCAATTACTAAATAAACTAGAAGGTCAATCATTCTTTGTAGGTTTGATCTTAAAAATGTAGTTGAGCCATTACTCACTTTAAACTGCTTGCCAACTGCCACAAAGCCATGGCTTGATGACAGGCCTTAAATTCATGTATAAACAATACAGGTGAAAGTTTGATGTGACCAATGGAGGTCAATTTGGTCAGTTTCTTCATTTCTATATTATCCAAGGCTAGTGAGTTTGCATAGAACACATAATCTGAGGAGGATATCATGTGAACAACAGAGTTGCAACAAGTTGTCACAGAGCCCACAAAGTAACCTGATTGTGAGCCATCTATAAAAAAAACTAATATGGAAGGATGTCTTAAGAGGAGCTAATTAAAGAGAAATTGATGCCTCCAATCAAGAGTATCCAAATTCTTAAGGCAACTCAATGAACAATCACAATGGGGGGATGGGTTAATCATTGGTTTAAGTAATGTCATCCAATTTGTTATTCAACATTTACTAAACATAAAGGTCAAAGGTAGAGATATCATTATCAACTGTATTCTGTCATAGGAAAATTTAGGATTGAAATAATAAAACCTGAATCAAAATATTACTTTCAATTAAACAAATTTCTCCACTTTTCTCTTCAAATCACCATACATTATTCCTTCTTTCTGCTCAGTTAGTAGCATCATTCTCTTCCTTCCACTTGGTCTTTTTCCTTCCATTTGTTCACTTAAAGACTTCTTTCATCAATCATTTTTATCAAACTAAATGAACATTCCACTTCTTCTTTTGCTTCCTTATTTGTCCAACAATCCTCCTCCTTTTGCAACATATTTAAGAATTCATCATTCATCTTTTCTGTCCAACTGATTTTCTTCATTCTTTTCCAAATCTACATTTTCAAAACTACCCATGCCACTAGCGCTGTACTGATGTTTGATGGCACCCTGTGTGACATATAAATTCAGTACCCCACAGTGCAACCATTATTTTTCTTTGTTAGTCAACCAGGCAATCGGCACCCCCCTTTGAGTTTATGCCTTGTTTGAACACAATGTTCACACTACCCCATGTATGTCACAATACTATATGTAAAGGTTTTGATCAGTCCATTTTTTGGTGTTCTGTCCAATATTTTTCTTAAAAAATGTTTCATCTTTCTAAATATTTATTTGCCCATTGCAGTTGTTGGTTTTATTTCTTTAGATCAATTTCATCAACTATTATATTACTCCCCATATAATAAAACTGTTACACCTCAACCAGTTGTTGTCCTGATATATAAACGTTCATCTTTCCAATTTAATTTCTTGAAATCTTCATCACCTTTGTTTTCTTCATGTAGATCTTCCCAAACCTTGTTTTTTATTCAATTTTCTACTAAAGTTTGCAGGATTTTCTAGAAATATGCAACTAAAGCTATATTACCAGAAAAATTATATGCTTTGATTTTTTTTACTCCAATCTTTACACTGGCTTCAACCCAGGGGTGAAATTCTGCCAGTACTCAGAACTTATTTTTTAAGGCGGTATTAGTACTGGGACTTCTTTGAGCTGCTGTGTACCAATATATGTACATTTGAGAAAAATTCATTCACTGACACTCAAATTGTCGTTTTTTATGTTTACACATAGATTTTCTTTAAAAAAACCAAAAAAACAGGTCCACCTCACCCATCTGAGTATCTCTACTTTTTTTTTTAGAATTTCACCCCTGCTTCAACTTCTTCCCATGTTTCCTGCACCATTGCCTCAGCGTAGAAATAAAGAATCAGTGATAATAAGCAAACCTGTCTAACTTCTCTTTCTACTATCCCTTCCTCAGAGTCAACCATACGTTACTCTTACACATAGACCTGTCCTCGTAGAGGTGCACTAGACTGCTGCCACTGCAATTTACTTGTTGCTCAAGGTTTTCTAACCATCAACCAAGTTTCTGTTGCTTTTTCAGTTTTCTTCTTAGTTTATTTTTAATAACTGTTATTCTGTGACATCCACATACTTTTTATTTTATAACATTAACAAACAAACTTGGGTAATCGCTGAATCAAAAAAGAATCAAATTGAAATTCAATTAATCAGTAAATGTTATTTGCTGAGAAACTTAATTTTAGATTTAACCCACCAAATACGAACTTACCATGACGCTAATAGAAATATCACTTCAATTATTTCTCATATAATATAAACAAATAATAGTGTAAAATTCACATCGTCCTTCAAATGCATTTTCACACTCTGCAACTCTACGATATAACATACACCTGTCTCGCGTTTTAATAGCTACTAAGATGATAAACGCGTCACCATTTATCTATACACTAAACTGAAATAAGCATTAACTCTTTCACTTGAAGTCAACGGAAGTTATAAAGTGGCCATCTTGTTGGTCCAATGCTAATTCCGCGAAGTCATTCATTCATCAGAAATCAAAATTTTAAATTAAAATTATTGTTAGACCTTAATTAATATCAAGTAATGAAACTAACTTCAAATGTAAGTGTTGATAAATCTTGGAACTTTATCGTAATTCCATGTATAGTTCAATTTTACTACTTTACTTATACAGTCAATTTCTCAAAAATTTCTGGAGATGAACTTGTACTTAGTATCTTTTTCAGATCAGTCATTATCTAGGAACTTGCTACTTTCATCACAGCCTTGGTCCACTCAGTCAGTCAACAGTATCAGTATTGATCACGTAGCTCACAACCTATCCTTTCTTCTGCCGTCTTCCTGTTTCTGTCTCACTGCAATCACTGGCTTTTCCTGGATGTTTTGGGTTTCCATCTTTTACCACGCCTATGCTACACCTAGCATTCAAGCCACACAAACTGTCACCTCCAAGCCCGTCTACGGAGATGTGAGGAGGTGGGGGTAAAGCACCTTTAGGCTATATATTCTCATAAAAAGCATAGTTTTGGCTTTTCTTTGCATATAGACGCTTGATACATTAAGAATGAACAAAGTAATAATTTGAGTAATAATTCACATATACTTGGTACT